GAGCTATGCTAATTGCATAGCTTGAGTCAAAATAGCTTATTTCAAAATGGAGAGCATCTACACAGCACTTCTTTCGAAATAAAGCACTCTCCCCCCGACTTCCATTACCCCTCTGTGACAGGGTGTTTGCTCTGCACTGGCCCTTTAAGGGCAAAACTCCAGCCCTGAGTAAGGGCTTGAGAGCAAAGCCCCAGCTGAGGCAGCTCTGCTAATGAGGGCCCAGCTGGGGGCCTGGAGAGAGAGAGAGAGAGGAGTGACTGCTGCTCTAGGCAGAGAGCAGTAGGGACCTGATTGCCAGGGAAGCAGGAGGCTTCCTGGAAGTAGAGCAGAGCTGGGGAAGGAGAGCAGAGCCCTCCCAGGCTGCAGGGCCTGAAGCAAGGCTTGAGGCTACAACGGCTGTGGGAGGCAGCCATGGGAGGGCAGAGGCAGCAGGTCCACACCCCTTTGCCAGTGATGAGTGGCCATTCCAGACTGCAGTTGAAGGCTGGCAGTGGGTCACCGAGGCAAGGTGGGTACAGGGGAACTGGGTGTTCTGTGGGAGGACAACAGGGTGCCTTGTGGAAGGGAGGACCCTGGAGTGCAAGCAGAATAAACACCAACTCCCGGAAGGGGGAGCTCAGATGCTGGAGGGCAGTGTCCCGAATAGGATGTCGTGGTCAAAGAGAACATCACCTGAGCAGTGTTTCTTAAACTGGTCTGCAGCAGGCGATTTTTTTTTTCTCAACAACTTTGCCCCAGCAAAAAAAAAAAAACCCCTTGGTATTCTCATAAAAAAAAAATTCTTTGGTGTTCCTTGGTCTTAAAAAGTTTAAGTAACACTGACCTAGAGGGTGGTGTCCAGCCAGCCAAACAAGCTAATTCCCAGGGCTGCTGGCTGGAGGCGCCTGCATGGTGAGTCTATCCTGTGACACCCTCATACAAGGAGGTTTACAGAAGTAGGAGCAGGAAACCCATTATTTTAAATTTACAGTAGACTTTCGATAATCTGGACCTAGGTGGTGCCGGACTATCAGGAGGTACTATAAGATGGTTAAATATATACTTTATATATTATATACCGTATATAAAGTATTCTTAACCCTTTTTATTGTACATACTGTATACAGTATACTGTAATGTTTTAGTTTTTTTAAGCCTGTTTTACCCTTTTTGCTCAGTTCAGCTGCTGCCGCTGTTACCTTGTGACTCATTTTTTGCCGAAGCTCACTCACTAGGCTCTTGCCATTTTGATGTCGGACTATCAGGAGTGCCGGACTATTGGATGCTGGACTATTGGAGTTTTACTGTATTTTGAAATAATGGGCTTGCTGTGTAGACATACAAACTCTATTTTGGAGTATCTCACATTATTCTGAAATAACGTATTTTGGAATGCTGTGTAGACACGCCCTTACAGAAGAAGAGCATCACGGATCACAATCTGATCTGAATATTTAATGCACCAAGCATCGGTATCTAATCTTACATCTGCTATGGCGAGGGGTAACAAGTGTCAGAGGAGCAGCCGTATTAGTTTCTATCTGCAAAAACAAAAAGAAGTCCCGTGGCACCTTAAAGCTTACGGTATGTCTACACAGCACTCTTACCTCAAAATAAGCTACCAATTTGTGCTATGCAAACTACATAGCTTTTTTTGAGGTAATTCTGAAATAGCTTATTTTAAAATTTGGCACTGTCTACAGCGCTAAATTTTGATATAAAGCGCTATTCCAAAAAGTCCCTTAACTTTCATGGAATGAGGCTTACAGGGGCACCAGAATAGTGCACCCATTATTTCAAAATATATTTTGAAATAACAGGTGCATTTAAAGACATGGAATAGCTATTTTGGGATACTTCCAGTATCACAAAATAATCCTGGGAAATAATGGAAGAGTTCTTGTGCAAAAAGACTTCCACAAAAGTGCGTCTACACTGGTGTGTGCTTTTGCGCAAGAGCATCCATGACAGTGTGGATGCTCTCTTGTGCAAGAAAGCTTTGATGGCCATAGGGGCTTCTTGCACAAGAAATTCATGTTGCCTGTCTACACTGCCCTCTTGTGGAAGAGCTTTTGCGCAAGAGGGCTTATTCCTTGTGAGGAGAGGAATAACTCTTCTGGAAGAAGCCCTGTTTTACAACGTTATACTGTAAATTTATTTGCGCAAGAACACACGTGCAGTGTAGACAGCCGGCAAGTTTTTGCGCAAGAATGGCTGTTCTTGTCCAAGAAGCTGCCAGTGTAGACATAGCCCTGCTGTCTAGACATTATTTGGCATAAGCTTTCATGGGTCAAAACCACTTTGTCACTTTGACCTCATGCATCTGACGATGTGGTTTTGACCCACAAAAGCTTATGCCCAAATAAATCTATTTATCTTTCAGATACCACCGGCATCCTTGTATCTACTATTGAGTTCTTGGGGCTCTTTTTGGGCCAGAGAAAAGGGGGTCTGGTTTTAATGTGCCAGAGAGATGGGCTGATGTTGTGTTATCCTGTCTTTCACATTGGCTGAATCATGTCATGTGTCATTGTAACCCATGCTAAAGCCAAAAGAGAGTATTCTTCCTTCCAAGTAGAAATTGGCCAGATTTTTCTGAGATTTTGGATTTATCTGGGGGTAAATGTATCACAAGCAATGGAAAATGCTGTAATTGATGGTGTCTTCCTACATATTTCCAGTGGAAATTTAAAAAAAAATCTCTTTTGGTACTTGAGGTGGCTGAGTGCTTTTTATCTGAGTTGACTATCCATTCTGCATTTGACATCACTGTGGTTACCCCGTAGGAGAAAACATTGGGCTTGATTCATCCTAGCGATGCTTTAGTTTTTATACATTTCCAAGCTAGAAGGCGATATTAGGCACCTCTATTGTCACCTGCATAATACAGGCCATAGAATTTCACATGGTGATTTCATACCAGTGGAACGCCATTGAAATCATTGTTCCAGGCAGTGGATGGGGCGTGTGAGTCATGTCAGGATTGATGCATGCTAGCATGAGTTCTTGACCGACACTCCCTTGAGTTTAATGGTGATACATTTCTATCACTATTGAGTTTAATGGGCAGTGAACAATTCACTGTGCACATGATGAGAAATGTTTCTGCCTTGGCTGCAAGGCCAAAGCTGTATCCCTTGTGGGGGTTACCCCGAGTACGTCCCATCTGCCAGTGGCATTTACACCACCATCAAACTAGAGTAACATTGGAGTAGTTCATACCCATTAGTCTGCAAGTGAAAGCAAATGCTAGAGAGGGGGAGAGATATGTATTCTGCTGCCTGTTCTTCCCCTGTTGACTGTTAGCCAGAGCTGGTACTCTGGAAGATGGTGTGTGCCTGGAAAAAATATATTCTTCTCCAGACATTTTCCCCTCTCTGAGTTTCACTGGTACTCTGGAAGATGATGTGTGCCCAGAAAGAATATATTCTCCAGACATTTTCCCCTCTCTGAGTATCAGGGCTGTTTATTGACCTACATACTCCTCCATCTAAATAGCACACACAGCCTTCTTCCTTGCTGTTAAGTGTGACTGATGAGAAAGCAAGGAGCAAAGGGCATATGATTGAACCTTCAGGCCAGTTGGACCTTCAGCCTCCTGTGGATCAAAGATGTAGCTATGCCTTTGTCTACAGTGGAGAATAGCCCCCACCTACCGTCCCTTCAGTGGTAGCCTGCCTTCAGGGTAAGCTGTGGCACAGCTGGCTCCAAGACTGTATCTGCACCCCAAGTGAAGGGTGTGATTGTGCGAGTCCCTGGGTTGGAATTCATCTAGCCAGTGCAGGTAGCAATCATAGGGAAGAAGGGACAGCAAGGGATTCAGCCCAGACTAACCACTACTTTGGGCACGGGGCTGGACTCGATGCCCTCCTGAGGTCTCTTCCAGTTCTAGGATTCCAACCACCATGCTGGGATCCAAGCTGCTGCATCTTCGCTGAGGTTGTTACCCACCCTAGTTAGATTAACACAAGCACAGACTGTGCCCCCCCATGCTACAGTTACACCCTAACTTGTGGTATAGATGAACCCGAAGTGTGGCTAAGTCTGGGCAGAGATTTGCATTGACTGAGCCAATAGTGGGTTACTCCTCTCCACCAGCATATTCCCTTGGTTTGCCCTAGTTGACACGTGGGGGCCACTGGTGCCGTGAGCCAATGGCTGGCCACCAACTTCCTGTAATGGGGCTAAGCTCTTTGGGGCAGGAATCCTCTTTTTGTTGTATGTACAGCACCTAGCACAAGGGAGCACTAAGCAATGTTCCTTCTTCCCCCCCACAGGTGTGGAATAAATTTTATGTGCACTCAGGTGCGGATGAGCACTGCCAGGAGATGCCCAGGCTGCAGTGGGCGCTCTGCTAATCCACTTACAAGAAACCCTGCTCCTAGGGGCTAGCAGGAGGTGAGGGTGCTAGTAAAGTAAACCCCCTAGAACGGTGGTTCCCAAACTTTTCGGCATCACGCCCCCTTTTTGATTTTTGAGAAACCCTCACGCCCCCTCCCCCCCAGCAGCAAAACTTGTTGAGCAAAAAAAAATAATCAAAAATAGCAGCAAAACTTGGGGGGGGGGAGGAGTTGATGGGAGCAGGGAACCCATGTTCTAGAGCACCCCTGCTCTGTTCTGGCTTGAATATTTCCATCTTCCCAAAGGCAGCTGGGGCCAATTCGATTCCAACCCCCGGCCCCTTGCCCCCATCCCAGCTACAAGACACGTTTCCCCCTCTGGGATGCGCTCCTGTGTGGGCAGATCAGATGGCAGGAGGGAGTTGGGGGGGAGGTGACCCCTCCGGGGCACATCTCCTCGGGGAGCCGAGTGCGGAGCCTCTTTTCCCTTCTTTAAGCTGCTGATCGCTGCCTAGGGCCTGCTGACCGCGTGTCCTACCCGGGAGGCCTTGTCCCGAGGGACCCCCCCCTTGGCAATTCGCCCTCCAGGAGGGCTCCGGGCCCTGGAGGACAGCTCCAGGCTGCCCCTAGCGGCCGCGCTGCAGAAGGCGGCGCTACAAAGAAACCAGGTGGCCTCGGATTTCAGCACCACCGCCGCGGACAGCGCCTCTCGGGCATCCCCGCGGCGCTAGAGGGGGTGTGCGGAGGGGGGTGGAGGTTCCAGCCCGGGGTATAAGGCGGAGGGGGAGAGGCTGTAGCCGGAGCAGCCGGATCCAGTCTCCCCCCGGCTGCAGCATGGAGAGCCCTAGGAGAGCGGGGGGGAGGTGATGCACAAAGGATCCAGGTGGGGCACGAATCCCCCTCGGCAGAGGCAGAGCTGAGGCAGCCGCAGTAGTCGCTGGGCAGCACATCCCAGCCCCTAGCCCCACGCACCACCCCCCCCTTTCCTTCCTCTGCTGTAGGACCCGCGGCGAAGACATCTGGGCAGGGCGCAAAGAGTGGCTGAGCCCAGGTAAAGTTTCCCAGGCTTGTGGGGCTGGGCGAGGAGGGGAAGGAGCCTCCCACGCGCGGGGCGGGTCCGCTGTGGATGTGCTGCTAGTGGATCGCGGGTCCCTGGGGCTTCCCCGCGGCTCTTCTGCGGCGATCCGGAGCGTCTGGGTAGCAGCGTCGACCAGGGATCCTGCCGCCTCCCACTCAAGCCCAGGTAAGTGGCTCTCTTGGGCTTCCAGCCACGGGGGTTCCATGGAGTCATCTCTGGAGAGTTTCATGGCAGTGTGTGTGGGGTGGGGAGGGGGAAGGAATCAGGGGGGTCCTGATTTGTTAACTCTCAGCCTGGACCCTGCTAGCGAGAGGAGCAGATATCCACTGTCCAGAACGTAACTCATTCTGTTCTGATTCCTTTTTCACAAGTTTCTTTCCCCCTCCCCTTCAAGAACCCCCCTTCAGAAATAAGTGGATTTGGGGCTCTGGATGCCTTCAGTCATTTCAGACAGCTTGGATGTCTCTGATTGAATGGAGATTCCTGCCCCCTCTTCCCCAGCTGAGTTTGTGTGCGAATGTTTTTGCCTCTATCCAGGGCATAATTTTGGGATCAGTTGGTCCTTGCTTTAGTGTCATTAACTTCACAGGAGTTATATGGGAGCGGGGATTTGGTGCCTTGCGTTGATATTTCTTTTGGTTCTTGTTGAATTCATCCTCCAGAGACTGTATCTGATAGTTCTTAGGTTGGAAGATTCTGTTGCTGCATATTTGGCTTGCTAGTTAGTTAATCTTTACATTTGCGGCTTGATCAATATATATATTGGAGAATAACCCCAGACATGTAATAGACAATTGTCGCCCCTCCCCACCCCAATAACAGTAAAAAGCAGAGAGGTGGGCCTAGATTCCTTAACACTTCCCTAGCCACAGCCTTGGAGTGATCAGTTCAAAATGACTAACCTTACCTGGTACAAGGACAGTGGAGTGACAGCAGGGTGAAGGGAAGAGCTTACAAAAGCCATAGGGTGCCTACAAGTAGGTTGCTTATTAAGGTCTGACACATCAGTGATTTCTATTACTCTCCCTGGGCATTGGACTAGACTCTCTGTACATGTGTCTGCCTGTGATATACGAGAGAGCGGCCATGGACAATAAAATAAGGATGCTCCCATAATGTATATGGATCATAAGGTTGGCTGGTTTCCCTACTGTTCTAGGCTGCCTGGTTACTCTCCGGAGAGGCAGCATGTTTATCAGGTGTAAGTGGGGACTTGATTACAATTGATAAGTCCTTGTGGAGAGGACAAATATTTGCTCGTGGGCTCTCCAGTCCAGCATGATCCAGTGGCTGGAAAGTGAAGCTTGACAAATTCCAGCTGGAAATAAGGCATGCCTTTTTTATACTGAGGGTAATTAACCATTGGAACTATTTACTGAGAGTCATGCTGGACTCTCCATCACTGGCAATTGGATGTTTTTTCCCAACTGAGCCACTTAAGGAATTATTTTGGGGCAGTTCTCTGGCCTGGCTTATCCGGGAGGTCAGCAGAAAAGACTAGAACAGTTCCACCCGGCCTTGAAATCTATGCATTAGGTCATTCCTTTCTCAAAAGCCAGACAATGTTTTCTGAAGCCTGCTTGCTTCTTTCCCAGTCATTTCGATTTACTGCCATTATTTCACTAGAGCTTGAGAAGGGAAGGGGGTAGAGCAAAGTGAACGGCGTAAATTCACATGATTAACTGTTATAGGTTTCCAGTCTCCCAGCTGTTTGTCACATTCAGGGCAATTGAACCTATATTTCCCCCTTTTTGACTCAGCAAGGGTATCCACTTTTAAGCTTCTGGCTCCCTGGCTGTCATCTTTCTTGGGGGGAGACCTGCCTCTCTCCTCCTTTGGGGGTTTTTCTGGGCTGCACAGATCTCTGCTGCTCTGTGAGTTCCTCAGCAAAATAGACTAGACTCCTTTGCTTTTCTCCTTGGAGGCTATAAACAGCGTAATCGCCAATTAGAAGCTATCATACCGCTTTTCTCAGAAAGCACATTTATTCTTAAGACAAAAGTATGACAGAACAAACAGATTAGAACAATAATAATTGCAAAAACCCTACACACTTGCTAATGAGTTTTGCAGAGATCACCCTGACTCCAGCAAGAGTTCTGCTATGAGTCAGGTCTTCATAGCTCATCTGCAGCCTAATACTTTCCCAGTCTCCAGACTATCCGATTTTTTTTGATTTTTCGATCTGGCCCTGGTCCCAATTAGACCAGATACGTGTGGGTCTGCGGTATCTCTTAGGAAACACGCTCAACTCAAAATCCATCTGCAGCTGGCATTCTGTTTGAAAGAGTCCTCTGAAGTCGTTATACTTCCCAGGGTAGGAATTTTTCTGTGGTTAAAAGTTCCTAACAGCTGTTAGCTCAGAACAAGATCCCCATGAGTTGAATCATTCATTCACCTGGTGCAAGAGCAGTGGAAAAACAGCAAGATGAAGGAAAGAGCCTCCCAAAACCATAGGGGGCCTACAAGTAGGTTGCTTATTAAGGTCTGACACACTGGGGATTTCTATTACTCTCCATGGGCTTTGGACTAGATTCTGTGTTTGTCTATAAGAGAGAGCAGATAACAGTTTGGCCCTTTGATCTGGGGATCAGGTAACCTGCAGATGGAGGATTTCTCATCCGGGTTTAGATTCAAAAGGGGGTGGGAATTTTCCCCTCCTTCCAAGCACAGTAGAACCCCATGTGTCCCCCTTTCTCCTTATCAGGCTGTTTGTATTAACTAAACAACCAGCTGGCACAGCTCCAAAAGTGGCCGATCTGCCCTGTGACCGCTAGATTGTGCTGTAGCCTAATATTGTCCTATTCTCCAGATTCTTTTTTGGATTGTTCGATCTGGCCCCAGTCCCAATGAGACCAGATCCAGGGGGATCTGCGGTATCTCCTAGGAAACACGCTCAACTCAAAATCCATCTGCGGCTGGCATGCTGATTGAAAGATTCCTCTGAAGTCGTTACACTTCCCAAGGAAGACATTAGTCATGTCTCCACTCAAGAGATGCTACATGTGATCCCCCAATCATTCCATTGCCTTTTGAATACAATAAAACCCCTACAACCCTTAAACTGAATCCAGTCAGGTTTGTCCAGGAGATTTCAGGCACCTGCCATATTTGACACAGTGTGCCTACCAACCCCACGCACAGATCCACTGAAAGCAGCATGGTCCCCAAGCGTAGTTATTTTGCAGTTCTTTGATGGCGGTATCTTGCCAGGACACGCTGTTCTCAGTACTACAGGCCAGATTCCCCAGCTGGGGTGAACTGGCCAGAGGTAAATGGAGAAGCACATAAAAGACAACAGAGAATCAGGTGTCCCCAACAATCAGAGGGTAACTGAGAGAAGACACAGATCTTGGTTAGTACGATGAGCAGAGGTCAGAGCAAACCGGCTGGTTTTTGTAGGCATCGCAACTGGGGGCTGTTTCAAGGTGGGATTTGAAGAAGAACAACGAGGTGTCGGTACAGTCACAAACACAAGCCCCGTAGCCCTGAAAAGGGGACCCCCATGCACCTGGTTGTGGACAAAATGCCTTTATCCTGCCCCGCCCTTTATTCATCCTCTTCCAGGCCCTGTCAGCCAAACACCACACGCATGCTCTTCCAATCAGCACCCTGCTAGGTCTGGGTTTCTTAGCATAAGAACGGCCATACTGGGTCAGATCAATGGTACATGTGGTGATGGGGCATCTGCCCTGCATTGGCCCTTTAAGGGTAAAACCCCACCCCTGGGAGAGGGCGGAGAGCAAAGCCCACAGCTGTGGCAGATCGTAGCTAATTAGGACCCAGGTGAGGCTACATAAATAAGGGGTCCAGGAGGGAGGAAGGGAGTAGGAGGGGCCTGGCTGCCAGAGAAGCTGGGGGCTTCCTGAGACAGAGCAGGGGTGGGGAAAGGCAGGCAGGGCTGGGGAGCTCTGGTCTGACCTCACTCCCAGGCTGCAGGGCCTGAAGCAAGGCCTCAGGATTCTAGGGAGGCGGGGAGGCAGCCAGGATAGGCAAAGGCAGCAGGTCCACACCCTGGCCAAAGCTGAGTGGCCATGTCAGGCTGCAGTTTGCCCCTGAGGGAGGGGCTAGATGAAGACTGGCCGTGGGTCGCTGAGGCAAGGTGGTGTGATGGACCGGGCCGGCTCTGGGCACCGCTGTGGGAGTCCGCTTAGGGCAAATTGCTCCAAACCTGGGCTCCTTACAGCCCCTGACTGGAGGCCCTTCCCAAATAGGCCACACACCGAGCAAAACCCCTCGGATACCCCAGTTCTCCCTGTGCCACAATCAGCCCTGGGCCTAACACACAGGTGAGGGGTTATAGAACCCAATCTCACCTACCCTGAATGGGTTCTTCCGGTCCTGAAAGACCAGCCACAGTTCCCAGTCAATTTACACTTTGGATCTTACCCACAAGAGCACGCTGGGCCAATCCTTTAGAATCTAAAATCTATGGCTACGTCTAGACTGGCATGCTTTTCCACAAATGCTTTTAACGGAAAAGTTTTTCCGTTAAAAGCATTTACAGAAAAGAGCGTCTAGATTGGCACGGACGCTTTCCCGCAAAAGCACTTTTTGTGGAAAAGCATCCGAGCCAATCTAGACGCAGTTTTGCACAAGAAAGCCCCGATTTTCACCATCGGGGCTTTTTTGCGCAAAACAGTTTTCAGCTGTCTACACTGGCCCTTTTGCGCAAAAGCATTTCCGGAAAAGGGCTTTTGCCCAAATGGGAGCAGCACAGTATTTGTGCAAGAAGCACTGATTTCAGACAGTAGGAAGTCAGTGCTTTTGCGCAAAATCAAGCGGCCAGTGTAGACAGCTGGCAAATTTTTCCGCAAAAGCGGCTGCTTTTGCAGAAACACTTGCTAGTCTAGACACGGCCTAAAGGTTTATTAATAAAAGAAAGAAAAGCATGAGAGTAAGGTTGTTAAGGAGAATACATTACATGCATCGAATCGCCAAGTTCTCGAAACAGGCTCTCAGCAGAGATGTTACGAACTGCTCTCTTAAAAGTCTCTGGTGTACATCCTATGTCAGGATAGATCCACGGTTCTTCCCGGCTCTTTGTCCCTCACCAGGCTGCATCTGGGATCAGGAGCAGAATTGGAGACCAGACGGAGTTGACCTTATGGCATTTTATATCCCTCCTGGTGTCCTCCTGGCTAGAGCAGGTCTCATGGCCGAGTGACCTACCTCTGTTTCACATGCTGGCAGCCACTATGCTCTGGCTGGTTTGCAGGTATCCAGATTTCCAGAGGCATTCCTCAGGTGTATTGGGCTCTCTGAGAGCCTTGTTCCTGGAGCCTTGCTAACTAGCATAGTCACTGACTGGACATTCCTTCCCATTGCTCTGTCTCAGACAGAGAATCGTCCAGCATAAGCACAAAGTCCATTTTTATAACTCCACATACAGATATTCTACAAGTACACAAATAGCACATACAAAATCAGTAGAACATAAGCTTTCATTTGACACCTCACATGGCCCCCTTTGTACATACTTTGGGGCAACCTCCCCCCACCCCGGGTGCAGCAGTGACCTGTCTGATCCCCTTAAACTCCAGTAACGTGACAGGTGGGTTTAAGGAAATTGCAGGTTCCCTGGGAGGGAAGAACCCCAGAGCACAGACACTGATAAACACCACCTCTGGAAAGGGGCCGAGAGACACTGGAGTGGGCACTGCCGGAAGGCAGCGTCCTGATGAGGACCCTGTAGTCCGAGAGTGACGTGAGGACACGGAAGGACATTTGACAGAGGGAGGTGTCCTGCTTCCAAGCTAATTCCCAGTGCTATCCGCAGGATCCTAGTGTCCTGTTTTCCAACAGTAGCCAGTGCCTGGTGCTAGAAAGGGAATGTCTATAACAGGGCAATTATCAAGTGATGTCTCCCTGGCAGTTAGAGGGTTAGGACACCCATAACATGGGGTTGGATCCGTGACCATCTTAGGTTCATCAGTAGCTCTTCCTTATCCTTCAGGGACCTACTCTTATTTTGCACCCATTTAGACTTTTGGCCTTTACAACATCCCCTGGCAATGAGTTCCACAGGTTGGCCATGTGGCATGTGAAGAAATCCTTATGCTTGTTATAAACCTACTGCCTATTAATTGAATTGAGTGACCCTCCTCGTTCTTGTGTTGCGGGAAGGGGTAAATAACACTCCCTTATCTACTTTTTCCATGCCAGTCATGATTTTAAAGACCTCTGTCATATCCCCTCCCCCTTCACCGTCTCTTTTCCAAGCTGAAACATCCCCGGCTTTTTAATTTCTCCTCAGATGAAAGCTGTTCCACCCCTCCCCCCTTTCAGACAAATTAACTGTAAAAGCAAAACTCCAAGTCCCTGTTCCCGAGTCTGAATTGACCTCTGAGCAAAAAGGGGCCCCGCACAGAGTCCATGTGGCTGTTTTTAGGAATTGACCTGCTCTGGGGTTTGGCTGGCAGCTGCCTTGTTCAAAGCTGACTCCCTCTACAAGAGCAGCTTCAGCTGTGTTAGAAGGAACACCAGCTGTGTGCAGTTCCTTCCCCATGCCCGGTGTCTCAGGTTGGCTCATTTAACAAGCTTGCTGCAAGTTTCAAGTCTCCCCCACGTAGCTCCTTGGTCACCCCCTTTGCTCTCCCAGAAGGTCTCTGTGCATAACGAGCTGGCAATTCCTTTTTCTTTCTTCCTTTCCTCCTCCTACAGGAAATTCAAGGCACCGCAAGCCCAGAGATCGTCTCGCCAAAGCCATGTGTATCCAGTAAGGCGCGAGGTCCCTTGGGTGACGGGGATCAACATGTTCAGTGAAAAAAGCAGCACCTCTTTGTCCCAGAAACCTAGCCAGAAAAAGACCAGGCCTCAGGGGCTTCCATCTCCCGCGCTCTGCTGCGCCTGTGGACTTTGCATCATGTTAGCTGGGATCAACATCACCCTGGTGGGAGCCTTCGCGTTTGGGACCTTCCTCCCCGTGAACAACCCGCCCATCATCATAGGGCCCATCCTGCTGGTGGTGGCGTTCACGTTCTTCGGGGCCTGCTGCATCTGCAGCCGGAGGCCGCCCGCCCACGGGGCGAGGAAATCCAAGCCGGGCTCCAACATGGGGCTCATCAAACCGGGCCACACGGCCTTCGAGATCGAAACCAGCGAACACACGGTGCAGGACACCACGGCCGTGCAGCTGAGCCCAACCAACTCTCCGGTGTCCTCCAAAAAGTCCACGCCCGTCCACGAGACCAACAAGACCTGCAAACTCTTCACGATGGACGGCAATGGGCCCGCGGCCAAGTATACAGCTGGAGGGGAGTCCATCCAGCTGAACTTGCCCAGAGACTTTATCACATCCTGAGTCATGGAGAGTGGTTATTAGCAGCCTGGTGGGCGCTGCCGATGGGTGTGGCCGTGATCAGATGGCTACAGCCGTTAGGAGGCAGCAAACCTATGAAATCCACTTTTGTGTGGCCCGCCAGGGCATTGGCCTCTTAAAAACCTGTTAAGAAAGGAGAGGGATGACACGGGAATTGGAAATGGTGGTAGGCAAGTCCAGCTTCTTTCTGGAACGGGTGCATTTATTTCATGTGTTGGGGAATAACACTGTAACGAGGAATCGATATTGCCCAGCAGCTGGGAAATCAGAGGGGGTTTTTTGATTAATTAATTTCTCGAGTGAATTTTTTACACAAGTAACACGGTGATTAGACTTCAGCGCAGGCAAATTGCAGGCCTTTCTTTATATAACATAATACAAATGACAATGCAGTAATTAGAAATTGAGCCTGCCCAGTCACTGGGAAATCACAGTGCTTTGGGACTGGGCTTTTGGTAGTTTGAGGAAGAATGATTTTTTTTCTCCTGCGTAGTTCAGATTTGGGTTTCAGTCCTGCTGTCTCACATATTGTCTAGCAGCATCACCAACACTTCCACTGCTTGCTGGGCTCTTAGAAGACGTTGAGGGGCAAATCAGAGGTAAATAACAGCATAGAACACAGAGCCAGGACTGGTGGCTGCAAACAAACTTCATGGGACTGCGGGAAACTTGGCCACACCCCTAATAAGTGGCCAATATGTGGAAGGTGGAAGGTCAGCAGTAGCTGCGAATATAGAGACTGCAGGTGATTGGTTAGGTCAGGCCTTGTGAAAGGGGCAGCCCATAGGCCTAGTGGAAATGGAAAAGAGGTTGCACTGAGCAGTAGAAATGGAGCGAGATCAGATGATGCACCTGATGAGGGGGGAGCGTTGAGCCTGGATTGCACACGTCTATTCAGAGATGGTGGGGGGTGGGGGAACCCTTAATGTCGTTCTCCTTGGAGCTGGGTGGGAATTTTTCAGTGAATCGGTTTCAATTGAAATGTCGTAAGGAGGGTTTCTCAGGCCAGAGAGGGAATTCCTGATGAGGAACGGACCAGAATTGCCCTCATCTGGGACACGGGGGATCCAAGTTTAAATCTCTGATTTTGGGACTTGAAACTGGGTTTCCCATATCCCAAGCAGGTGCCATGACCACCATTACAGGTTATTCTCTGGGCTATGTCTGGGTTCTGGTTTCTCCAGCCAGCCCTACTTGCCAGCAGATTGGTCAACTCATCTAGAAAGCCCCCAAGGGGATCAGCATCTTCTCCCTTTAAGTGATTATGAAGCCCACGTATGTTGTTGTGAGGTGTGTGTGTACAATAAGGGGGGAATAAGTTCCCTTAGCAGGGGCAATATGATTCCCTGCGTGGTAAGGCATTGGAGGCCTTGGCGGGGCAAAGAATATTTGCTGGAGGGGAACTTGAACCCAGGGAAAGGAGGAAGTGGTGTCCATGTTGCATGTGACACTGAATGAAAGGATTCTACCTGCCTCTCGATGCTCAGGGCTTTCTGGATTTGGGACTAGGACATACCTTGTAGCAGGTAGAGAAGCAGAGCTGGGGTACCAACAGCAGCCTCCGGCCAGGTCTCCATGAGGGCGTTATTTCGAAATCGTTCTTTCGGGAGTTATTATTTCAAAAGAACAAGCCTTTCACGTCAGAAGAACGGGCTGGGTAGCGTGGACGTGCGCCTGGTTATTTCGAAGTAACTCTGTCGTGTCGATGTGCCCGCAAAGACGTCCTTACCCATGTGCAGCACCTGACAATTTGGGGCACCCCTGGGTCCACCCTCCCACACATCTTCCTGTCCCCGTTCTGTGGCTCTGCTTCCTCCAGACAGGCTCGCGTTAATTTAAAAGTGACAAAGCCGGCCGGAGCTATTAGCCGTCCAAAAATATTTCATGAGTGTGTTGCTGAAGATTATAAAATGATACCTCTAAAAAATCGTCCTCCACCCGCAGCTGCCATCGGGCATAGGGGCGCCAGGTTAATAGCACGGTGTGCGGCCCCGTGAATCTCAAGGCCACCCTGAGCAGCCTGCTTTCTTCTGACGTACGGTAAAGGGCAGGGGCAGGGAACCTTTTTTGGGTCGGGGGCCACAGACCCACAGAAAAATCAGTCGGGGGCTGCACAGAAATGAAGCAAAACAAACACCCCTCACCTCCCTGATATGGTCCCTCACACTCCCCCACGTGCCCCCTGTGCAACAGAGCCTAGTGGGGTCCGGGGTAGTAGATTTTGTGGGGTAAAAGCCCCCAAGCAGCGCTTTCCTGCACCAGCCTGGAGGCAGGGCGTGGAGCTGCTCCCTCCCCCACCAGGCCGAGCAAGTGGATCAGCTCTGGCCGGGGCTTGCCTGACTCTGGCCCTATGTGACCCACTGAAGATGGGAAAGTGTTCAGATGTTACAGGCACGGGGGCTAGGGAAAGCACTCCCGACAGAAAGATGGATGGATCCAAACACTCCTGCGCTCTGGGAACGTTTGAGTCTGCCTGTGGCTTGGCAGCTGGAGCCCTGGGTAAAATCTCCGGCAGCCCCTTGATTTTATGAATCTCTCTGACAGCAAACTCCCCTTTGGCACCGGAGCGTAGGTCTACACTGCAGAGTTTTTCCGGAACGACACTTACATCCACACTGTCATTGCGTTCTCACGATAGAAAGTTGAAAGAACGCAGAGATTTTTCCCGACAGCGGTAAAGCTCTTTCTACTTTCTACAAGGAAGAACGCCTTTTCCAAACGAGCTCTGTCGGAAAAAGGCATGTGTGGACAGGGAAGAGGGTTTTTTTTTTTCGAAAGAAGAGGCCTCCAGCAAAAAGCACCGGTGTCCTAGTGGCCACTCCCTCCATAGCAGATCAGAACTGAAATGCGAGACAGCATCCAACGAAGGTGGGCACTATCTTTCAAAAAAGCACATTGCTTTTCCGATGCGCTTTGGCTGCTCTCTTCCGGAAAAGCTTCTTCTGAAAGAAGCCTGCAGTCTAGACATAGCCTGAGATCTGACAGAGGGAGCTAAGAAAAGCCATCAGTCTGGGTAGCTGCCCTGTTGGTACTTTTACTAAGGCAAAATACTCACCTCCCAAACTCCCACATCTTCTTGGAACATCACCCTTGGGCCTCACTGTATTGATGGGGTGTTCAGATCAACGTAGTTATTGGGATCATTTGCCCCAGATATTTGGGGCAGACAAACTACAAAATCAGCCAGTAAATTACTTCTCCCTCTTCCCATTTTCAAAAAAATGAATGATTTCACTGGAGGGTGTATTTTGGATCAAGATCAGCAGGCGCCACTTAGGGCCTGCTAGTAATCCCGTGGAAGTGAGTGGCAAAACTCCCATGGATATTAACGGGGGCACAAGCGGCTTACGTTTTTTCCCTTATTTGTTCATATTGCCATACAGGTTGAACGTCTCTCGTCCGGCACCTCAGGACTTGACTGGTGCCGAACTAGAGAATTTTCCAAACCGCAGAAGGTCAATATTGTCTAGCAGCGTCACCAATACTTCCACTGCTTGCTGGGCTCTTAAAAGACATCGAGGGGCAAATCAGAGCTAAATAACAGCATAGAACACAGAGCCAGGACTGGTGGCTGTAAACAAACTTCATGGGACTGCGGGAAGCATGGCCACACCCATAATAAGTGGCCATCTGGATAAATAAAATCATACTGGACCACGGATGTTGCCAGACCAGAGCGTGCTGGCCTAGAGAAGTTCACTCGGTAGTGCCTAGAAACCATAACCAAGAATCAGGGTGCTCGGAGCTGTACACACAAGTAATGCAAAAAATGGTCCCTGCTCCGAGGTAAAATTACCTTTACAATGTAGGCATAAGACGAGAAGGTAAATGCAACAAATAGCAGGGGAAGGGGATAAGGTAACCGAGAGACAATGGTATCTTCACATTGAGGGCCTGTATTTTTCTGACCAATGACTAGGCCTTATCTAGATGCTGGATTCCCTAGCAAGCTGTGACGTTGTTTGCGTAGACACGTTGTTTGTGGGGATGGGGCTGCCGTGTTCTTCTGATGCATTTCGCTTTTCAATTGTCCGCGTCCATCTGTCCGCCTCCGTGACTGGCTGTGAATGAATCATTTGTAAAACTGTGTCTTCTCCTCGGCCCGTAGACGACGAGGAGATTTTCACGGGGTTCCAGTTGGACTTGCTGATGTTAATTTGTATGTACTTTGAAATGTGGAATCTGGAAAAGAGGGGCACATTAAAATACGGACCCTGGCTCTTGTATCCTTCCTGAGAACTCTGCCATTTCAATCCTTTCCCTCGGCCACAGGAAGTTCTCCATCAATCTTTTACTGTCCAAGAAGGGTCAACGGCATCTCTATGGCTAGATCCATGTCTTTCCTTTGCATGCTCGGCAACGGTTTTGTTCATTTCCCATTGGAAAGTCGTGAGGGAGCAAACATCCAGAAGAGATCAGGTGTGTCCGAGTCACCCCTGATTTTAAAACCACTGTGTGGTGCTCCTGGTTAAGCAACTGTTTTCCCCCCAAACCATGTGCTGAGGCTGGTACAGATGGAGTCACGCGTTGAAACCAGGTGCTGGATGCAAGTAGCAGATGAATCACCAAATCCTGGAAATCTAGGGTTTGAAGGGCCCTCGAGGTTCCCTAGCCCAGCCACCCAAAGTGAGGTAGAAGTACAGACACTCCCCGATTTACGAATGAGTTACGTAGCAAGCACGTGGTCGTAACTCGATCTGTTTGTAAGTCGGACCCCATTCATTTAAATGTGACTGCGCTGTTCGTAAGCGCGGATCGCGTTCATAACTCAGGGACGCGCTTAATGGGAGGTTGGTCGTCAGGACGAACAGTCGTAAATTGATGTGTTCGTAACTCGGGGACCACCTGTATATCTACACCAGCCATGGGGAACCTAAGCTAATGAATGGGTCGCAGGAGTGCACTGGCGTCCCGACAGGGGAAAAACCCTACACGGACAGAACCCAGCAGAATGTGCCACCCCTGCACGTGGACAACCATCCACGAAATGTTTCATGGGCCACCCATAGAACCCCGATGAGCTGCACTCTGTTAGACCATCTCTGCCCGATGTTAAAAAACACGAAACCCACCAGTGATGATCACCACATGCCTGGGCCCTTGTTCCCATGCGTAACTGTCCTTGTAGCTAGAACGGGTCTCCATGTATCCAGCCTCACTCTCCTTTGTTCTTGCCTTTGTGTTGATGAGTCTTTAACCCTGTGAGAGGCAGGGCGGATGAGAGCAATAGACATTGTCCGTGAAGTAAGTGAAAGACCCCGAGGGAGCCCATGGTAACACCGTGAGCCACTGATCCTGGGCATGCCTGGGCCCTGTTGCCTTTGTTGACTCTAGGTCTGTATGTTACTGAACTACCGTGTTTTAGCGTGTATAACCCGCACTCGTGTATAACCTGCCGGGTTTTTGTGCTGTGTAAAAAAAAAAAAAAGTAGATTACCCCCGGACGTGTATAACCGGCGGGTTCTATAGGCTAATTCATGGTAATTGCACATACCAGGGGGGAACAGAGAGTGCAGCGCAGGCAAGCTGGCCAGCCTGCGGGAGGAGAGCCACATTCATGCCCAGGCCCGTGCAGCTGCAGCCAGTTGCAACCCACCCTCCTCCGGGCAGGGGAACGGAGAGCACAGTGCAGGTGTGCTGGAAGCGTATCAGGCCCTCCCTGCAACGGAGCAGAGCTGACCCAATTCTAATGGGTAAAAATAAACTTGCATACCCCTGCGGACATGTAAAAATGTGTATAACCTGTGGGTTATATACACTAATTTCTGGTAATTCTGCTTTGTGTCAGACTGTACAACTCCACTGAGATGAAGGGGGACACCTGTTATGTCCTCCTGAGGGGTTGTCATGGTGTGGCATGAGGTGGTATCCCGTCCATCCATCCTCAGGACATAGTGTGGCTCCCTTCTGAGGGGCAGTAGAGTCTAGTGGTTTGAGCAAGGCCCAGGGAGTCAGGAACTCCTGCTTTCTAATCCCACGTCTGACAGCAATTATAAGAACATCAGAATGGTCCTACTGAGTCAGACCAAAGGTCCATCTAGCCCAATGTCCTGTCTTCCAACAGTGGCCAATGCCTGATGCCCCAGAGGAAATGAACAGAACCGGGAATCATCAAGTGATTCCCTCCCATGCTACCCATTCTCAGCTTCTGACAAAAAGAAGCCAGGGACACCATTCCAGCCCATCATGGCTAATACCACGGCGGTCCTATCCTCCATGTCTTTATTTAGTTCTTTTTTTACTCCTGTTAGTCTTGGCCTTCACGACATCCTCTGGCAAGGAGTTCCACAGGTTGATCGTGATTTGTCTGGAAAAAATACATTTCCTTTTGTTTGTTTTAATGCTGCTGCTTACTAATTTCATTTGTTGACCCCCTTAGTGCTTGTGTTCGGAGGAGTAAAAAGCGCCTCCTTCTTTACTTTCTCCTTGAAATTCATCGAGTCACTTTGTGGACTCTTTTCAGACAGAGCACAGCTCCTTACCTCAGTTTCCTCACACGTGATATGGGAACTAATATACAGCAATTTCCTTCCCACGCTGGGAGTGATGTGAAATTTGGTTAGTTAATATTTGTGTAGGGCGGCCTTTTAGATGTAAAGTAATATACATAACTGACTAGGCCGCCTGAGTTACTAAGTATGGGGCTGTGTGTGTTTGCCCACAGGACGTGTATGTACACAGCACAGCTTCCTTGTGCTCTGTGCCTTCTGATTAAAGGAAATAATGTTGATACCGCCCATAATTAACCTGGGGATCATGGTACCAGGGAGTCTAAGATCTTAATGGGATTTCAAGAATTCACTATTTCTAAGGACTTTGAGAACAGCCCCCGATACATACACACATGAATGTAACATACATATGATATTTGTGTGGGTGACCATGTGGAATAACAACGGGGAAGTGTGTGTAAAAAGGTGAAATGTACAATGTCTCTGTGTGTGAATTGATTATATTTGTGTGTATCTGGGTGACGTGTGTGTGTGTACACGTGAATGCGTGGGAGGGTGGGATTTCCTCCTTGCTGAGCTCCTTCTGTGCGGAGCTCGACATACAGATCTGGGGAAGGATGGGGGAGGGATCGGGTTAAGAATAGAGAGATTGGGGGGGGTGTTGAAAATTTGCCTGAGGAAATTCCCTGCCAGGCACAGCTAAATGATTTTGGGTGGAAGGAAATCTTACCTTCCCAGGCATGTGTAGGAGGGTTAATGGGGCAGTGAAATGAGCTCTCTAAGGGCCATGTCTACACTAGGAAAGTATTTCGAAATA